GTTTAGGGTTTTGGGGCTTAGGGTTAAAGGGTTTAGGGTTTTGGGGTTGAGGGTGTAGGGCTGGCACGGTACAGGGTTTGCTCTCTCTCTCTCTCGAGGCCCTGGGTAAGGTCTTCAGAAGTTGAGGGTTTGATAAGTTTAGGGTTTACCAAACAAACCTTAAACCCTTAAACCCTAAACCCTAAATCCTAAACCCTAAACCCCTAAACCCCTAAACCCCTAAACCTTTAAACCCTTAAAAAAACCCTAAACCCTAAACCCTAAACCCTAAACGCTAAACCCTAGACTTTGTAACCTTATGGCTGGGCCTGTGGAAGTTCATGGCCAGGCCTACTGCAGGGTTTAGGGTTTCAGGGGTTTCAGGGGTTTCAGGGGTTTAGGGTTTAGGGTTTAGGGTCTAGGGTTTAGGGTTTAGGGTTTAGGGTTATTGTTTAGGGTTCAGGGTTTAGGGGAAAATGCTCAGGATTAAAGGGTTCCCATGGTTTCGGGACCAGTTGCTATAGGGGCCTTCATAATTACCTAGACTGTTTTTGGGGTTCCTTGTTAGGTTGATACCATAATAAACCCCCAAAGCCCGATTCGATTTATTAAGGCCTCTACAGTACATTATGCAAGGAGTAACCATGGTCATGCAGATCTTCAGAAACAAGATGCAGGGGTGTTGTGATGCCTACAAAGAGGGAGAGAGCCAAGCAGATAGCACAACACGAAAGGAGCAACCTTTGGCGAAGGGATACGTCGTGAAGCATTCGACACCTCAACAGCATTGAACAGTCGTTCATGCTTTACAAAGCTGTCTCTACTTACCCTACCCCACTACACTAACCTAACCCGAAGTGAGAGTTCCAGGAAATAAGGGACAGTAGGATCTACCCTAACTAGTGGGATCCTTCTGACAGGTACCCCCAAAAAGTTGCACCCAAATGTGTGAAACCCTTTTGAAACCCGTAGCTTGCCCGTACGATGGAGCCCCACAAAACCCTCACGAAAGCCCAGGAAAACACCAATACCACTTGGAAAACCCATCATAAAACCTTGACAAGTCCTCTTGCAAACAACGACAAGCATTCTAAACCCTTCATGAAACCTGCAGCATTCCCTCATCAAGCCCTCACAAAAGCTCCGCCCCAAAAAGCTCCTGAGCTTCAAATTCGGAAGTCCCTCAACCCTAAACCCTAAAACCCCTAAACCCCTAAACCCCCTAAACCAGAGAAAGAGGCCATTGCACTTTTTTTCAAAAAAACCTAAACCCCTAAAGCCCTAAACCCCTAAAGCCCTAGAGCCCTAAACCCCTAAACCCCTAAACCCCTAACCCCTAACCCCCTAACCCCCTAAACCCCTAAACCCCCTAAACCCTGAAAGAACGTCAGTGAGGCTTGGCCAAGCTGGAGGAGATGATGACTCGCATGTCGCAGGCTGGGGGGGGGTTCGGGTCTAGGAGGGTTTAGGGTCTAGGGTTTAGGGTCTAGGGTTTAGGGTTTAGGGTCCAGGGTCTAGGGTTAAGGGTCTAGGGTCTAGGGTTCGGGGTTCTGGTGCCCCTGAACCTGCAACGTGTATCGTGGCCTGTAAAAGTAACCTGATAAAGACCTCTTGTCCCCCTAACAAACCCTAAACCCTAAACCCCCAAACTCTAAACCCCCAAAAGCCTAAACACCTTCAGCCCGCAGAATGGCAGGATGTCTGTTTTGTGGCTCTCCTAGGGCTTGAAAAGCTCGAGATTCGGTATCTCGCTTGTTGGTCCCTGTAATGGGTTTAGGGTTTAGGGTTTAGGGTTTAGGGGGTCATATCATGAGTGCAGTAGAATACGAATTTGAGCTAAGCCTTGTCTATTTCAGGCCCCTTTGGAGTTCTTGGAGCCCTCAAGATTCCGGCGCCATACTGTCACTCTCTTCTGATCCCCCTAAAGGGTATTCTGGTCGGTTGTATAGTAGACTTCCCTTTACAGGGGAACCCTAAACCCTAAACCCTAAACCCTAAACCCTAAACCCTAAACCCTAAACCCTAAAGCCTAAACCCTAAACCCTAAACCCTAAACTCTAAGAAACCCTTGCTTCTGGCGTTCCAGGGCATCCGGGGCGACTTTAAGGGCCCTCAGATCGCCAACGAGCCGCCCCCGGCGCCGCGGTCGCACTTGCGAGGGTTCAGGGTTTGTGCTGAAGAGGGTTTAGGGTTTAGGGTTTTGGGGTTTAGGGTTTAGGGTTTAGGGTTTAGGGTTTAGGGTTTAGGGTTGAGGGTTTAGGGTTCTGGGTTGTGGGAGTATAGGGTTGAGAGGGTTCGGGTGCTTGAAGGATCAGGAGTAGATTATAAGGGTTCTACAAGGCGTCCTACGGTGGTTGCAGGCACTTGAAGGATCCGGGGACTCAAGAAGCTAGGTTGTTGGGGGGTCTTTAAGGTTTCAGGAGGTTCTCTGTGGGACTCTCTGCAGGATTTAGGGTTCAGGTCGAAGGCTTGGGTCTGACCTTCAAGGGCAGTTCGTAAAAAAGGCGCACTCCAGTTGCCTTGGTGGAGCTCTGCAAGCTTCATGGTGCAAGCCTGGATGTCTAGTGTCCCTCAAACGTACGTGGCGTTTAGGGTTGGTGAGGGTCTGTTGGTCCCACGTCGCTCAATAAAGTAACGATCGCTTATTCAGCAGCCGTACTGTGCTGATAGCAGGGCCAGCTGATCGTGATGGAGGAAGTGAGAAGAAGTTGCCCTGAACTCTCAACCATTCCCTCTGCTTGTCCCTGTGTCAGCGCAGCATGTTTGCCCAGGGAATCGGGGCCTCTGGGCTTAGGGCCTGAAGCTTTTGGGGCTCAGGAAGCAGGAACGAACCCTAAACCCTGCAGGCTCCCATTGTGCCGCCGGACGACATCATTGGAATGAAGGACGAGGTGGACAATGATGAGGCCCCGAAAGCATGTCCCCCCTGGCCTCCGTCGTCTTCGCGGTCATGCTGATGGTGATGATGGCCCTGCTTTTAGGTCCAGAGGTTCTGAGTCTGAGCAGTAATGTCCCTTTGCAGTCCGAAAAAATCTGCAGAACTATTGCTCCAAAGCCCTATTCAACCCTAAACCCTAAACCCTAAACCCTAAACCCTAAACCCTAAACCCTAAACCTAAACCCTAAACCCTAAACCCAAATACTCAATTGCTTAAGGCCTCACTATTGCTCCCCAAGCCATCACCATCATCCTTCCAACTGCTTGCTGTGCGGATCGCCCCCCAAAAAAAAGCAAACCCTGGAAAAGGCCATGCGACACTCCAAACCCTGAGGACATGGCCTTGGTGTTGGGCTGGATTTTGGGGGTATAGGGTTTAGGGTTTAGGGTTCTGGGGGTTTAGGGTTTTGGGGGTATATTATGGCATCATGATGTAGAGATTGTAAGGGGGGTATAAGCCTTAGTATAGTTGCATCGTGACGAGTAGCGGGTATTGTGCCTGTACTTCAGTATAATACGAAGGAACTGCAAGGGCATATCATCCGTATCTTATCGTATCATTGTAATATAGGGCCCTTAATAATTACCTATACTACTTTGGGGTTCCTTATTATATTTTTAATATAAGGGCCCAAAACCCTCTTCTAATTATTAAGGCCCCTCCATTA